AGTGATAGTGGTCGTGGTAGCGGTAGTAGTGGTAGTGGTGGTGGTAATGGTGGTTGCAGCGGTAGTGGTTGCGGAAGTGGTAGTGGTAGCAGTTGTGGTAGAGCTTGTGGTAATAATAGTGGATGTAGTAGTGGTGGCGGTGGGTGGTGCTGGTGGTGGTGGTGGTGGTGATGATAAATATATACTATAATTGGAAGTAATAAAGACAAATTGATGATAGAGATGATGGGAAATTATAAATGTTAGTTATAATAAGATTTATAAGGGCTAGGATAGTACCAACGATAGTGATAAAGATAATAATGACAATAATAACAAAAATATAAAATGTTTCCTATTCTAATACTATCTTTTCCTCATTCACCACTGCTGCAATTCTAAAGTTCTTCATTATTATCACATCCAACATTGCTATAATATTTACAATAACTATGGCAGTTCAGTCTTATTGTAATTTTCACATCATAACCACGCTATTATTATACATATATATCATCATAACTATCATGATGAGTATTACGTCAGTAATTAATACATCAGCATTCTATCATGATATGAACAATGTTAAATTAGAAACCTTATCATTATTATCCCTTATTTTTCTAATCACTATGTGGCGTCGTTTAAGTCAGTAGTTATTTTACCCTATCTGGCTAGGAACATGTGGAAGGATGATCTTCATGTGGAGATAGTTATCATATAAACCCATGCGCGTACATAATTATTTTTATATGTATCACTAATTGCGTTTTTCCACTGCTAATATTATAATTTTCATGCAATAGATAGATACTAATATAAATGATAATATATCGGCGTGCAAAACGACGATAATAATAATAATAATAATAATAATAATAAGTCATTCACGTATACATGACCGATAGTATCGCCAAAGTAAGAAAGTGCATCCGAGGAAGTATGTCGATTGACTTAATTTTCTTTCTTTCTTTCTTTCTTTGTTTTTCTACGCATTGATCTTATAATTTGCGTCTGAAATTCCTGTATCTGAGTTTTTAACCATGTTTCATGTTTTGTCATACTTCTGTACTGTTTCTTATTTTCATGTTATGGCAGCCGTACGAAGACAGGTGTTTCCTAGGGACGCCGTTACAGCTGCACAAGTTCGTCCGGGCCGCTGGGCCAATGCGGTTACAGGCTCCGGGTCCGGGATGTAAGACTTCGCTCGACTCCCGTTTATGGATTTTTCATGTCTTCCTCCTTTGTGAATAACCTCCAAAAGTCATGAAGTGTTCGAGGAGTCCTAAGCCCGCGCAGAATAGAACCCCGGGACCGTAAACGCCGCTGAGACGAAGGGCGCCTTCCTTCTGGGGGGAGCGCTGAAGGCGAGTCGAAGAAAGCGAGACGCGCGCGAGCCGAGGAATCGCGAATCTCACCTTCGCCCCAGTGAACTCGGCCGCTGTGCCGATACGTTCGCTATAGCCGGGTTGGCCCCGTAGTCAGCTTCTCAAACTCGGTAACACAATGCGTTTTGTCTTGAATGGAGTAACATCGCTTTGTTCAGAGAGGCGGAGCAAGTTGAATTGTTTGTACGTAAACAAAACGACGAAGGGACAATGCTGGCAGAGGAAACATTTGGAGGTCGTTGAAAAGATGGCGCCCGGGGCTTCGTATTGAGCTCGGGAGCCAAGTGCTTCATCTAAGTCGGCAAACAATTAAAAAAGAAAACTTGAAAGAGGCGCGAGTGAGTTAAGTGACGTATTCAGACAGCAGCTGCGAGAGAGAGAGAGAGAAAGAGAGTCCGAAGGAAAGATCGTCTCGTTGTCTTGGTCGAAGGATGAATCCTGGCCGCTTTTGTGTCGCAATGGTTTGGCAACATCAGTTCGCAAAGGTTTGTCAAATCACTGTACAATATTTCTTCCTCTCTCTTCTGTCCGTCTATCTGTTTGCTGCTCTCTCTCTCTCTCTCTTCTCTCTCTGCTCTCTCTCTCTCTCTCTCTCTCTCTCTCTCTCTCTCTCTCTCTCTCTCTCTCTTCTCTCTCTCTCTCTCCTCCTCTTTTTCTCTTTTCTTACACCTTGCGTATAAAAGTAGCTGTAGCACAGTGTAATACTAGGGAGTCAAGGTCTAAGCCTAAAGAAAAATCTTGGCTCCTTTCGTGTCGCTGCGGTTAGGCAAGATCATTTTACAAAGATTTCCTCGCGACATTGTCCATCTCGCAGTCTATATATCTACCTACCAATCTGTTCAATCATCAGTCTATGGCGATCTCTCTCTCTTTTTCTTGAGTACACAAATGTAATAAAGAGTTTGCAAGCTGCAAAGATGGAGGCTGTATGAATGAAAACGTAAAATAATCAGAATAATACAACAGTGGCCATAAGTGAACACCTTTGCATTGAAATCAGTTGACTGTCACCTCCACCTTTACAGATCCTCCCTCCACCCCGTCAATATGGCCTTGTATATCTCACCTCCGCAGATGCACACGTGAAAACATACAAGGAAATCTGTAATGGTTCCTTTTCTTGCATTTCTTTCTTATCCTCATTTCTTCGCTTTAGACTTTCTTTTCTTTGTGCGGCTTTCATGACGACGTATTGATAAACCTCAGCAGGAAGACGTGCGTGCATTCTGCATCACGTATGTCATACAGATAACATTATGTGGCACATTATGAGTGCTGTGGTTATATGTTATGCACGAATGCTATTCTATTGCATCGCATTTCACTTCATAAGCAGGATATTTCCGCATAAGATGCGATATATATGCAATACAGAATTCCCTAAGGATATGTCTCCTTCAATGATCTTTATACTTTTGATGCAATATCAAACTACCAGCCATGCGAAAGCTCAGGAAATCTTTGAAATTCATCTTCAAAGGACTTTTTTGATTTTGATATTCCAAAGATATCTCGTTTCTAAACTTCGTTGCTTCCATTAACATGGAATGTAAATTCTTTTCACCAGTACACCATCGTTATATTTTGCTCAGTAAATAATTACTATAAGAAAAAAATGTTGTTTGTTGTGATGTTTATATAGTGCAGGCTATCTTGCATAAACTCTTTTCCTATATACGGTATGTAATGATTATCATCAATTAATTAAGATTCCATATGAACTTTAAAGAAACAAACATTTTCCACTGGATTTTTAGTAAGTACAGAAAATATGATTTATTACTTTGAAAGCCAGGACATGATCAATTACTTTTATATTTGTGTATCAATTCAACTTTCCAAGAAACTATTCTCTGCCATTAAAAAAAGGGAACATGAAAAAATAACAGCATATATTTGTTTTAAGATGGATTGATATCTTAGCTTTTCGATATGAAGAAAGAGAGAGAGAGAGAGTTCATTTTCTTTCAATATTTGTTCGAATCTTTTCATTGACCGTGTTATCTTCTGGAAGAAGGATCTAAAGATCGAAAATGTGCAATCATTGTTATTATTATTTTGTATCATCTTGTGCATTCTAAATAGCAGTGTGACGTTCATGTATTGTTCAACATCTGCTGCAGGCATTGTACATGATTTAGATAGCATTCTAACCCGAGGCTCATTCTGCGAATAATGCATCTTGCGTGTCTGCGCTGAGGGAAGGGGGACACATGAATTATGAAGGGGGTGGGGGTTGTAGGCGTGTGTTATCTATTGTCTTAGTCAGTCAATATAGATGATAATAGCCAGGCTATTCACAAAATAAAATACAATACAGCAAAGTTAGAAAACCATACCAAAATATTCACCTAGACCCTAACAAAAGCCAAATTCGTAAACCTCATATAGCTGCTTATTAACGCTTTTTACTAATTCACGTCAAACCCCCATCGACTCCAATAACACGAGCGAATAAGCCCCCATCTGGAGTTGAACGAAAACAGGTTCCTAGGAAAACTAAACAAGGACTTCGACCAAAGGCATAAGTAGGTAAACTTATCAAACTGCAGAGTAGAAGCGCATGTAGGACGTGACGTCGAACAAACGAGCCTTGGTGTTTAATTAGCCCCGAGTGGAATAAAAATCCAAAGATCCTTAAAGGATGAAGAAGCAGGGCTATATTTCTTCCTTTGTGCCCATTGTTATGTGTCTGTCTTCAATACAACTTGCACACAGAATAGGCTTTTGTTACGTCCAACAAAAAACATTCTAGTTTGACGACATTTCGTATCAAGCGTTGCCCATTGTTACTCATGCTAACACATACAACGGCATAATGCTAACGGAACTTACATTATCTTTAGTGCTTTAACGTCATAAAGGATTTTCCCTCGCTGTTAATTATATATATGGTTATTCATTTGCGAAGTGCCAATTAGAGCAAAGAACTCAACATACTACTAGTTATTACCCCTGAGCAGTAATAACGTACGCTAAATTGTGAAAAACAATAAATTTCGGTATCTGGCAGCTGGTGGTGCGATTCTTTTGTTTCCCGCCGACAGTCTTTTGTTACTTATCATGACGCGAGCCAGTTTTGTTTCTTCGGGTACGTTCGATTCCTCGTCATTTGGCTTCTATTGCGCTACCACGGTCATTAAATGTATTCGCATTCACCATCAGGTATTTCAACGAGACGGATATCATTAATCTATAATGGAATTGCGCAAAATTAGCCAGAGATGAGAACAGGCTGCGTTCCGAAGCGTGTTCGGACTCCCAAGTCTTGTTATGTCTTTGTTGAGACGAGTTATTTTGAGTGACTCGTTCTATAGAGGGAGTGATCGTTTTCTCCGAGGCACCCACTATCTAAGGACGACGAACTACCTCTTCTTTCACATTACACCAAGGACGACCTATCGTATTCTCACTCTTAAGAAAAAAGGACGGCTTTATTTCACCGCTGCGTACGAACTGTTAGCTTCTTGCAACGCAGAGTGTGTTTACTCCATTATAAATGTACAAAGCCCATCTTGAAACCAAAGTCGTAGAGAAGCGAGTGGCACAAAGGGCGATCTAGACATCAATAGCCTTCGCTGCTTCAACACAACGACCTGAAAAGAAACCCATTGGTAATAATGCAACCGTGTG